TCGTAGTTTAATATTTCCTCGTAAACTCCTAGTCAACCTTACGTTGACTTTACGAGGAAACCAGAAAAGTCACGTAGTTTTCTCATAAAATTATTAGGACCTTACGAGGAAACACTTTTCTCGATACTTTACGAGGAAACACTTTTCTCGACACTTTACGAGGAAACACTTTTCTCGACACTTTACGAGGAAAGTACGTGGAACCATTGTTTCCTTGTAAAGTTCTCGTAATATTACCATAATGTTACGAGGAAACATTTTCCTCATTAATATTCCTATTTAAAAATCGTTTTCTTGTAGTGAGTATATAATATACTTGTTATAAAATAATATCTATATATATATAATAAACATTAATATTCTATTTGTTATTACAAATAAAACATTATTCATTTTCTAAATTATACTATATTTTAAATGTGAAATATTATTATTCACAAAATGAAATTAATGTTAAATATGAAATTATATTTGTACATAGCATAATTTTCATAATATAAAATAATAAATTTAGTAACTTCTAGATAAATTATCATTATTTATTTATTGATAGAGCAGTAAATGATTCATATATATCATAACTTATAGATAAATTATCTTTATTTATTATCTTCTAAATAAATATATATGTTTCATATAGAAAAAAATTTATATTATTTTATTTTTATTATTGAAAATAATGTATGATATATGTAATTATATAAATTATATTATATTTCAAATTTGAAATATTGTCCTTTTAAAAAATTGAAAATATTAACTGCAATTTATATTTTTTAAAATAGAAATTTATATTTTTAGTTATAAAAATATTTTTATATTCTTAAAGAAAAATAAAAAGAATATTTAATTATTTTTAATTTCTATATATTCTAAATGAAAATGCTCTACCATAAACTTTATATGAGAACATTAAACTTGGAATATTTGGAGAATATTAGTATTTAATAAATATTTTTTTTAAATACTTATTTGATAAAAATTAATTGGATAATAGAGAGCATAATGCTTATGATAATGTTCTACCAATCAAGCTTTCATATCGAAGAGATACTAAGTTAGAATACTCTTCTCCACTTTTACTTTATTTCCTTGTTCTCTTTGAATTTTATAAATTTACTAGGCGTAAGTAAGTTTTAGCTTGCGGCTCATATAATGTTAGGATCGATCCTGTCTATGAGAACTAAACTTTTTTTTTTTTTTTTTTGAGAACTGAACTTTTTTTGTTATGTGTCATTTGTGACCTGAGAACTGATTGATTTTTATTTAGGCCGCAACTTTGACATTTCACCGTTTTCCCCAATTTCAATCGAAAAATTATTATTCTCGATTCGTCATAACAAACTTATCAACTGGTTTGACACAAACCATAGTTCTGCGTAGACTGATCTTTGTTTATTTGCTTATCACAGGCAGGATCTGAGATTTATGAGGTCTTCGGCGATTAATGTAAAATTTAAATTAAATTTTGTTTTTTATGACTTTGGGGAGGCTAAGAAAAGTGTTTTGGAGATCTTTGTCTATGTAATTTTCTTCAAAATGATTGGAGGTGCAAAGGTTTCGTTAGGCTTGGTTTATGACCGGTCCTGATCATGGGTAGCAAGCCAAAGCTAGGATGAATGAGAACACTGCAACCGACAAACATTTACCTTACCACTAGGATAATACATGCTCCTTGCGCATGGTGAATGTATGTAATTAAAATATAAAATTTTCGTATTGACAAATTTAAAATTTACATATAATTGGTATTATATGTATTTGAAATTTTGGAATTTTTATATAATTTTCAATACGTAGGATCAGAAACAATTGTAATTAGAACTGTAGATCAAAACTTAGAATTTAATGGACCTGATTTCATATATCTTTTCACTTTTCAGTGTTCGAGTGATGGAAAATAAACGCAGTGCCACTGGGTTTGATTGGTAGATTATTAGCAAGTTCCCTAATGTTTTCTTCATAAGTAGTTGGTAAAATATTTGCATTTAAAATATGTAAAGTTTCAAAACTAATTTAGTGTAATATAATTTATTTATTTTTCTAATAATTTTACAAAAATATATTTTTTTATAAATTATACTTTAAAAAAAATTATAAGAAATTAAGTTAAATTTTAAATTATTTTTAAAAACAACATTTTACGTTTTCCAAATACAAATAAAAAATTTAAAATTAATTATGGCCATGATTTAACATAACCATAATGACTTAAAAAATTAAAAAAAAATTAAAATTAACAAATTAAAAATTAACTCAGTTTTATATCATGATTTAACAATTAAAAATAATATTTATGGTTATGAGAAGTTTACGTTCAAAAGTCAATCCTATTTATCTTCAAATTTTATGTTATTGTGTTTTTTATTTTGGTTATTAATCGATATAAATATTTATGTTGAAGTTTATTCTCATTTCGTTTGTTTGTTTTGACCTGAGATTTAGAAAATGCTTAAGATTTAAAATAATTAAAGAGACACATACTTAGGATAAGATCTGCACTTTATGCACAATAAGTATTTTATATGTATTATTTATTTTATATTTTTCTGTATATTATAAAATAATAAAATAATAAATATATATATTAAATAAATAAGAAATCAGTTACTATTATGTAATAAATTGGCGTATGCATATAAATTTAACTATCACAATTATTTATTCGTAATTAGGGTAAATAAATCAAAATAATCAATCTTCTATATTGTATATGATATATAATTAAATTAAAATGAAATAAACATAGTAATATGCACACTTTCAATTAGAATGTTTATTAAATGAGATTTCTACTCATATGATTTTATGATTATTTACATATTTTGTAACAAAACTTTACACCAACGAATTTTTTTTAATGTGAGATGTTTAGTAGTTTTAATAATTTATAATCATTTTAAAAAAACAATGACTTATTTCAAAATTAAAATATTAACTTTTCAATAGATGTTCAATGCAAATATCAAAATATAAGTATGTATTTTCATACGATGTATAGCTTAATTAAAACGATATGAAATATATAAAAACTAAAATTATTTCTTTATATGGTCTTATAATCATTATATTTTAATATAGAAAAAAAATTAAAACCTTAATCCTAAAAATTTATGTGAGACTTTTAACAGTTTTAGTAATTTATACTCATTTTAAAAATTTCGAAATACAACATGCACAAAAAATCTAAATTTTTATTATATGATTAATGTAATTGTGTAATTTATTTTAATAATAAAGAAATAAATAAAATGAGAAAAAATATACAGATTGTTATCAAATCTTTATTTTTTAAAATCATTAATTGTCATATATATATTTTAATCACATTATGTAATTTCGTAAGTTTTATTTAAGGAAAGCATGCGAAACAATAAATATTTGATATATGCGACCAACTATTGTCTACAAAATATTATATTGCTAGAGAGTATAATTTTAAGACTCTATATCATATTACATGGTTTAGAATCCTTCTAAACTGAAATAGAAGACAAAGAGGTATGCCACATAGGATTGAGGTTATTTTTAATTATTACAAACTTAAAGTTACAATTTTTTAAATGATTCTCTTTTAATATATAGCGGATGTTCTGAGATGGCTTTTGCATTAAGTCCTTTATTTCTTCAGTAATTTTCGTTAACAGACTAAGGTTCTATTTTGTCCAAAAAAAATATATATAGGGTCTTAGTGTTGAATTGTGAAGATCTAACAAGTATTTTGAAAAAAGAAAAACCAGAGCAGAACGCCCATTAACTTATTAAGCCGGTCATGCTCACAAATAATAAAAATGTTTTTCTAAAAAAGATAATTAAAAGTATATATGTTGTTCTTGACAAAAAAAAGTATATTTTTCCAAATAAAATATAATTTTTAAAGTTGAGAAACCATGAACCATAATATATTTATACCTTTTGAATTTAAAATTTAGTTTATATTATATATTATCGCTATGTCATTTTACTAATCATGGTATTATAAGATATTAATATTTTGTTATCTGCATATTACTATTTTCTAATTATATTTGAAATAAATGATTTTTGACATACCACAGTTTTATATCGAACTATAAATTACTGATTTACCTTTGTATTCATATATATATATATATATATATATATAATACCTATCCTCTTCTTTAGAAAACTTAAATCTTATGATAAAATTAGATCTTTAAAAGTAACATCAAATCTTTTATTTTTTAAATAAAATGTGTTGATTTTAATAAATATATATTCTTCCATTTATATATGTTTATTTCATTTTAGTTTTATGGTATATAATATGAGAAGTCTTATTTGGTTTTTTGGTACATGATAAGAGAAAATGTTGTTCATATTTTTATGAAAATCTGTCTATATAATTATATTATTAAACTAGATTAACATAAAATGACATATATATTGTGGATAAAACATATTTAGTAAGTATATTAATTTTAATAGATTATGTTGATTTATTGTTTTAGTTATGGTATAGAAGGTTAAAGTAATCCTTTATATCATTTTAAAAAAAATATTTATGTGTACTTCAATTATTAAGATTACTTACTGAAACAATATGATGTATCATTATTATAAATATATATATATATGCACATATATATTCATTTTGATTACATTCTGGAATAAGGGATTTTTTTTTTTGGGTCAAATCTGGAATAAGGGATTTTCTATATAATGCTAAAAGTCATTAAATATCTGAGTCAATGAAAAAAAATATATATTAAATTCTGAAATTTAGAAAAGAGACTATAAATACCAGGTCTATTGGTGTTTGTTTTAGTATTGGAGGTCTATTGATCCATAATAATTAAGAATGGCATCAAAGAACACATTCTTGTTTCTTATTGCTCTTGTTATCGCTTGTAAGTCCCTCTAATATCTTTAAGAAGCCTTTTTTATTTTACTAAGCGTATTTATAGGAGTCAAAGTTTAAACATGAAACATTTGTTTTTGTTTCCTTTTGGTATCGATGTGCTTAATTAGGTGCAACAATGGTGAGTGTACCGACAGTGGAAGCTCAAGTTTTTCTTCCTTGCAAAACAACAAAAGATTGTGAGTACCTTCATTGCTCGAGTGGGACAGGTCAATGCATAAAGAGTCAATGCCAATGTAGCGGCTCATTGACTCGTAAACATAAAATCGACAACTTAAAACCAACAAAATATGCTCAGACGTGCAAGGTGACGAGTGATTGCGATCCTAGTATGAAACCTTCTTGTGTCTCGGGATCGTATATGTGTTTCAATGGCTTCTGTACTTGTACTCATTAATGCCTAGTATCATAACATATATATGCATTTTTTAAACACAACATAAACATATGCATATTTCTTGTTTTTACTATCGCGGGAAGATTTTCTCAATGATATAGTAAAATGTATTCAAAAAGAGTTATGCATGTTTAAAAATAGAGAAATTAGGAGCTATACCAAAAACATTTCCCATAATTTGCGATCTACCAAAAGCATGACGTCTCATTACTGTTCGTACTGTCATTTGACTGTAATACCCTTCATTTCCCGAAATTGATGGGTAGACACTCCTCCATTAAAAATTTACAATCTTTTTCTCCCAACAAGACAATCTTTCCCATATCTACTTTTGTCATATGCTTGCTTAACAGAGTGACCAAAGAATTCAAAATTGCTCTTCTTCATTTTTTCTTCCATTCAATATTTTTTGTTGGTAATGGTAGCTAACTTCCTTTCTTCCTTCTTTCATTATTTTTTTTTTAAATTGAAATCATTGGAAGCATAGATTTTCTTCATGTGTTTTGTTTCAGCACTCCTCTTCTTGTTTTTAGATTTTTAGATTTGGATAGATAATAATAATAAGAGCAATTTAGCCAGAAAGTTGTGTATTACTAATCTACAATCTTTGTCTTTTAATTGGATTTTGATCTTTGAGGTATCCTTTCCAACTATCTATCTTTGAATTTAATTGGGAGTGTTGATTTTCTTCATGTGTTTTGTTTCACATGTGTCTTTAATTGATAGTGCAGAAGCGGACGATACGTTTGGTAGCCTCCAGATTGTTAACCACCTCAACGCCCATCATATTTGCAGTTGCAACTAAACCCAGTTAGGAATTTATTCTTGATCAAAACCGTCTAATTACAATAGTGGCTTGTCACCTATATCAATAACCGACTAAAACAAAATTTCAAACATTACCCATCGATATCGGAGAAAGGAGAGAACCCAATTGGCCGGCTAATTACAATAGTGGCTGGTCACCTATATCAATAACCAGCTAAAACAAAATTTCAAACATTAACCATCGATATCGGGTGAAGGAAAGAACACAATTGGCCGTCTAATTACAATAGTGGCTGGTCATCTATATCAATAACCGGCTAAAAGAAAATTTCAAATATTAACCATCGATATCGGGTGAAGGATAAAACCCAAAATTAACCGTCTAATTACAATAGTGTCTGGTCACCTAAATTAGTAACCGGCTAAAACAAAATTATTGACAATTTGAGAAGGTTAACAGTGATTGTTAACCGGTTCCGAAGATATATAACCGTATAACAAATTATTTATGGGACTATCTAGTTTACATTGTCGTTCTGGTCTATTCATTACCGTAAGGGTTTCGGGGATCATGTTATCTTTAGGCTATCGAATTTTGTCTATAGGATTATATAATTAGTGTTTGGGTTCTGGGTTTCCAATGGGGTGTAGGGTTTATAATTATGTAACGGAGATGAAGAAATAAGAAGATGACAATGAGAGAGAAAAATCTAAAAGAAATCTTATTTGTAAAGTAAACAAAATCTTTTTGATATCCTCCCATATCTAGTTAATATTTTGTGTTAGAGATAAAATCCTAACACTGATCTTCTGTCAGGGAATGCCTAATACGGGAAGCTTCGATGATCAGCGGCCAGGGTATATATGTCTTTCTATTATCTCCTCAGTTGCCACGTCCACCCATGATGACATCATTTTGGTATTCACCTAATTTCATCATTTTCCTCTGGTTTCTGGCTAAATTGCTCTTAAAAATATAGATTAAAAGAATTTTTATATTTCCATAGTTAACAAGTTTTATATATCTATATAGTCAGGGGTGTTCAACCCGGTAAAATCGAGCGGGAACGAAATAGAGAAAATGGCTGGGATTTGGTAATATCAAATATACCGAATGAATATCATTTTTAAAAAACCACGGTATATGGATATGGTTTGGTATATAAACCGACCAACCCGAATAAAACGATCAATTAAAATATAGTAGTAATAAGTATATATAAACTATATATGGTCGTGTTCCAAAAAAAAAAAAAAAAAAAAACTATATATGGTCAAATCTCTCACATAGACCTTTTTAAGTTTTTATCATAAAAATAGAACTCAAAACTAAAATGACCAAAATAGTTTTTTTTTTTTGAATTTTTTTTTTTTTTGTTAATTTGAAATCCTACCCCCAAAACCCTCCTCCTCAACTCTAAACAAAACAGTCTAGGATTAGTTAACCAAAAGGTTATAAGTGTATATTTACTTATTTTGATAAAACATTTAAGTATATTTTGTCATTTTTATTTTAAAATGTATATTTGTGATAAAAAAAAATTTAGGTCTATCCTTAAGAATTTCTCATTATATAATATAATTAAGGGTAATTCTCTCAAACAGTCCATTTTAAGTTTTTGTAATAAAAGAACCTTGGTGAGAAAATGACCAAACGAGGTTTCATTAAAAAGAGGCAAAAGATCTTGAGCCCCTTGCGTTATAAATATATAAATAACAAGTAGATAATTATAAAATATAAAAATCTAAAATATTTTTAAGGAATAATTTAATTTCATGAAAATATTAAAATAAAACTTTTATTGTAATTGTACGACTGTATAAGTTTTGCATAGATTGTGTGAGATTTTAAGGAATAAAAATTTGTTTTTTCCTTGTAAATTTTGGTTGGTATTTATGCCTCAGTAATCACAATATATAAACAGTTATTAGCAACTTTGTATTTAGGGTTAGAAAAAACAGCCGGACCCAACCCCGAAAAATATAAGTTAGAGTAAAATACAATAAATTAGAAAATTTAATCAAGTCAATCTAGTAGATGATACATTCTTATACTCTTAGTTTATTATTTTATTAACTTTAAATATATGTTATTCTTCTGGTGTAAACATACTAATTTTATCATGGTCATTTGGTAATGGTTATGTTGTCATTGTTGGGTCCTAGAATTTTTTTGTGCATTATTATTATCTATATATATATTTGTTAGCATGGTCTATTCACATTTAAAGTATCTCTAACCCAGCTCTCTTTATTTTTATAAATTTGTTTCGTAAAATAGAAAAAAATATATTATAAAGATAAGTCTTTCTAATATATGACTTTATTACAGAGTTTTTCTACTTTAAAGAAAAAAGTAGTGGATGACATTTCAGTTTCTATATTTAGAGACAAAGTTGCATATATCTAAATCTTCCTATAAACACAAAGAAACTCTATTATAAAATCAAAAATCCACCTTAATAATATAACTTCTATATTTTAGGTGAAAATATATAAATGAATATATAGGTGAATTTTATTTAAAAAAAATTGGAAACGATATTAGGTTTTTAACTAATAAAAACATTAGATCAACATTTTTATTATGTAATTTAGAGGTAATGAAACTATAAATACCTTTACGCAGTTTGATAATGCTTTGATTCTTGTGGTCACATACATATATGTGCATGGTGAAGACCATCTTCTTGAATCTCCATTGTGTGAACCTGATGTTTATCAAAATAACATATTAACTAATGTCTCGTGGTAAAGCTTAAAATAAATAATAAATTGTATTAGTGTATGTTGAAAGAGAAAACTTTGAATCTCCATTGTGTGAAACTGATGTTTATCAAAATAACATGTTAACTAATGCCTTGTGGTAATCAAAGCTTAAAATAAATAATAAATTGTATTAGTGTATGTTGAAAGGAGAAATTTCAATTTTACCACAAATTTGGTACCACTTTTCAAATTCGCCATTAATGAAACTATTTTCACAAATATCCTAAATTTGTGATAAAATAACACTAAGCTATTTTTTTAAATATTTATTGAACATTTATAAACCAAACCCTAATCTTTAATACTAAACCCTAAACAACAATCAATAAAAATTAAACCCAAATATTAGTATATTTTTTTATTAGTAATATTTTTGAAAAAATGGTACTTAACTTTGGTATTTCTAATAATTTATCATGTTGAAATATAGCTGAAGGGCAGGGGGGGCAATCATTAAGATGTTTTGTAATTTAATTTAAAATATAAAAAATTAAATATATGATATATAATTTGGATTCTCATTTCTCTTTTTTTCTATAATTATCAGTTTTTTCTTACTTTGGATTACAGTTCTATAGCAATAACATTTTTAAGAGAAGAAATATGCATATTACCTAAATTATATTTTTCTGTCTAAAAAAAATAAGTACATAATTATAACTATATATAAATAATATTTTTAAAAATGAAAAACTAAATATATATTTTTTACATCAAATAACCAAAAATTCATTCCTATTTGTAGTTTATTATTTTTTTCAAATAATTTGCTTCTCACTTTGTAGTAACAATAAATATATTTTATTATATTGATTCAGTTTTAAATAATTTTATCGATTTTTTTTACATAATTATAACTATGTATACATAATATTTTTTAAAATGAAAAACTAAATATCTATTTTTTACATCAAATAACCAAAAATTCATTCCTATTTGTAGTTTATTATGTTTTCAAATAATTTGCTTCTCACTTTGTAGTAACAATAAATATATTTTTATTATGCTGATTCAGTTTTAAATAACTTTACCGAGTTAGTTTTTCTTCGTGCTACTTTTCCTTTATAACAGTTTAACTAAACTGAATTATAATAAAAATGCTATATATATATATATATATATATATATAAAATACTATATAGTAAAAACAGAATATGTAATAAAATGATGCATGAAAGAAATTTTTTTTTTACCAAACATATGTAATAATAATAAATGTTTAATGACCATACACTTTAAGAAAATATTAAATATGTGTTTCATTTTTGTATGACCAAACACATAAAACCAAAACATGACAACATCCTATTTTTCTTATGATTATTCATGAACAATCCGATAACAGTAAAACGCTACCAAGAAAATTATAATATGAAGAATAGTAAAACAAAAAAAAATTGAAGTTATATTAAAAATGAAAAAGAGAGACATTTACTGATATTAAAATAATAAATAAGGAAAATACACAATTTATATATTATAAATTTGAAATATCACTTGAACTTAAGTGTTTTGGCTTTTTCTAAAATTGTCGCTTGCTTTTTTCCTTACTTTTGCTCTTGTTTTCTTTTTGTTTGTTGTTTCCAAAATTATTATCCATGGAAATTGACTAAACTAGTTAAAAAATTAAGTATTAAGTTATTTTATATAATAAAATCTACCAAACTTATTTTACAAGGCTGTGTTTCAGGATTTTATAATTCATAATCCACTCTATCAAATTACCCTATAAAACTCAACTTAAGAACTAATCTTGCTAAGAAAAATAAGATGAAGTACTTAGGGATCGAATTCACAAGGAGCGAAGGCACACAGTATATTTATAAGATCCTAATGGTTAATCTAGGTGAAATTATTATATAGATATTCATATTTAAGTAAAAAGAAAATTGGTAGAATTTAACTTTAAAACAAATAAAGAAAATAGCTAAATTTAGGGTTTAGGGCGGATTATATAATAGATAGGATGCAAGTAAATCTAATATACGAGGAATCAATAGTTACAAATATGACTGTTGATCTATGGTGAAGCACCAATAACGATCGACGGTTATGACGAATTGATAATCCACTAGAATCGGTCGACCAGCTGTCGCATGCATCTAACAACCCTAGCTCAATCAGAATATGGTCCAGGCAAAGAACCTACTGTCGTAGTTGTATATGTTCTAAGTTCATGATTTAGTTAGCTACTCTAAATAACATGCATTAAGAATATTCTAATCAATAGATATTAGTTCTTCTAGGAATTCTAGTTTTTGGCTAATC